TATACTAGTATGTCTCTCTGCTTGTATACTAGTCTGTCTCTTTGCTTGTGTACTAGTCTGTCTCTCTGCTTGTATACTAGTCTGTCTCTCTGCTTGTATACTAGTCTGTCTCTCTGCTTGTATACTAGTATGTCTCTCTGCTTGTGTACTAGTCTGTCTCTCTGATTGCATACTGGTATGTATCTATGCTTGCATGCTAGTGTGTTTCTCTGTTTGTATACTATTCTGTCTCTCTGCTTGCATACTGGTATGTCGCTCTGCTTGTATACTAGTCTCTCTCTCTGCTTGTATACTAGTATGTCTCTCTGCCTGTATACTAGTCTGTCTCTCTGCTTGTATACTAGTGTGTCTCTTTCCTTGTGTACTAGTATGTCTCTCTGCTTGTATACTAGTATGTCTCTCTGTTTGTGTACTAGTGCGTCTCCTTGCTTGTATACTAGTATGTCTCTCTGCTTGTATACTAGTATGTCTCTCTGCTTGTGTACTAGTCTGTCTCTTTGCTTGTGTACTAGTCTGTCTCTCTGCTTGTATACTAGTGCGTCTCTTTGCTTCTGTACTAGTCTGTCTCTCTGCTTGTATACTAGTATGTCTCTCTGCTTGTGTACTAGTGCGTCTCTTTGCTAACGTACTAGTCTGTCTCTCTGCTTGTATACTAGTATGTCTCTCTGCGTGTATACTAGTATGTCTCTCTGCTTGTATACTAGTATGTCTCTCTGCTTGTGTACTAGTCTGTCTCTTTGCTTGTGTACTAGTCTGTCTCTCTGCTTGTATACTAGTGTGTCTCTTTGCTTCTGTACTAGTCTGTCTCTCTGCTTGTATACTAGTATGTCTCTCTGCGTGTATACTAGTATGTCTCTCTGCTTGTATACTAGTCTCTCTCTCTGCTTGTATACTAGTCTGTCTCTCTGCTTGTATACTAGTCTGTCTATTTGCTTGTATACTAGTATGTCTCTCTGCTTGTATACTAGTCTGTCTCTCTGCTTGTATACTAGTCTGTCTCTCTGCTTGTATACTAGTCTGTCTCTCTGCTTGTATATTAGTCTGTCTCTCTGCTTGTGTACTAGTGCGTCTCTTTCCTTGTGTACTAGTATGTCTCTCTGCTTGTATACTAGTATATCTCTCTGCGTGTATACTAGTGTGTCTCACAGCTTATATACTAGTATGTCTCTCTTCTTGTATACTAGTATGTCTCTTTGCTTGTATACTAGTATGTCTCTCTGCTTGTATACTAGTATATCTCTCTGCTTGTATACTAGTGTGTCTCACAGCTTGTATACTAGTATGTCTCTCTACTTATATACTAGTATGTCTCTCTCCTTGTATACTATGATGTCTCTCTGCTTGTATACTAGTATGTCTCTCTGCTTGTATACTAGTCTGTCTCACTGCTTGTATACTAGTCTGTCTCTCTGCTTGTATACTAGTCTGTCTCTCTGCTTGTATACTAGTCTGTCTATTTGCTTGTATACTAGTATGTCTCTCTGCTTGTATACTAGTCTGTCTCTCTGCTTGTATACTAGTCTGTCTCTCTGCTTGTATACTAGTCTGTCTCTCTGCTTGTATATTAGTCTGTCTCTCTGCTTGTGTACTAGTGCGTCTCTTTCCTTGTGTACTAGTATGTCTCTCTGCTTGTATACTAGTATATCTCTCTGCGTGTATACTAGTGTGTCTCACAGCTTATATACTAGTATGTCTCTCTTCTTGTATACTAGTATGTCTCTTTGCTTGTATACTAGTATGTCTCTCTGCTTGTATACTAGTATGTCTCTCTGCTTGTATACTAGTGTGTCTCACTGCTTGTATACTAGTATGTCTCTCTGCTTATATACTAGTATGTCTCTCTGCTTGTATACTATGATGTCTCTCTGCTTGTATACTAGTATGTCTCTACTGCTATGTATCTATGCTTGCATGCTAGTGTGTTTCTCTGTTTGTATACTATTCTGTCTCTGTATACTAGTCTGTCTCTCTGCTTGTATACTAGTATGTCTCTCTGCTTGTATACTAGTCTGTCTCTCTGCTTGTATACTAGTATGTCTCTCTGCTTGTATACTAGTCTGTCTCTCTGCTTGTATACTAGTCTGTTTGCTTGTATACTGGTATGTCTCTCTGCTTGCATACTAGTATGTCTCTCTGCTTGTATACTAGTCTGTCTCTGCTTGTATACTAGTATGTCTCTCTGCTTGTATACTAGTATGTAGAGCATATCTGCTCTGCTTGTATACTAGTCTGTCTCTCTGCTTGTATACTAGTCTGTCTCTCTGCTTGTATACTAGTATGTCTCTCTGCTTGTATACTAGTATGTCTCTCTGCTTGTATACTAGTATGTCTCTCTGCTTGTATACTAGTATGTCTCTCTGCTTGTATACTAGTATGTCTCTCTGCTTGTATACTAGTATGTCTCTCTGCTTGTATATTAGTATGTCTCTACTAGCTTATTGTGCGTCTCTTTGCTTGTATACTAGTATGTCTCTCTTTGCTTGTATACTAGTATGTCTCTCTGCTTGTGTACTAGTATGTCTCTCTGCTTGTATACTAGTGCGTCTCTTGCTTGTATACTAGTCTGTCTCTCTGCTTGTATACTAGTATGTCTCTCTGCTTGTATACTAGTGTCTGCGTCTCTCTGCTTGTATACTACTATGTCTCTTTGCTTGTGTACTAGTATGTCTCTCTGCTTGTGTACTAGTATGTCTCTCTACTTGTGTACTAGTGCGTCTCTTTGCTTGTATACTAGTCTGTCTCTCTGCTTGTATACTAGTGCGTCTCTTTGCTTGTTTTCTAGTATGTCTCTCTGCTTGTATACTAGTATGTCTCTCTGCTTGTATACTAGTGCATATGTTTGCTTGTGCACTAGCATTTCTCTCTGCTAGTATACTAGTGTATACTGAGAAAATGCTACGGATCATAAACATTTTGGAGAATATATTTGTAGGGAAGAATGAAGATAAGGTTTAGAATTGGTCGTCAACAGCCCATTCTTGTCGTAAAAAGCGACTAACGGGATCAGTGGTCAGGCTCACTGACTTGGTTGACACATGTCTTCGTATCCCAATTGCATAGATCGATGCTCATGATATTGATCACTGAATTGTCTGGTCCGGACCGCCGTCATGTAGCTGGAATGTTGCTGAGTGCGGCGTTAAACAACAAACAAAGACAGTTTCATAAAAGCTATTCCCCGAAACTTTCTTGATTCCTTCTTTGGATCGGTATATGAATAGAATTGGCATTACATATCTTCCTATTCGTGTGTTTGAAGCTAGATTTGACTTTTTTCTTTTTCCGTGTGTTCATCGCTCTGCTAATTGCTGGAAGAAGAATGAATCTGCCACCCGTTACTCTTTGTCTTTGCGATGTGTTTCGCCACCGCCTTTAACAGCATTTCAGCGTCATGTTGGCAATAGGTGAAACCAATCACTATTGTATGATGCTGTGAAACTAAGTATCTTAATTCAGGGGTGTGTGGATATCAAACAAATCATTATAGGAACCGGAAACGCCTAAGGGAAACAACTCTCTTCAGATGCTTAGCTGCTTTAACGTAACGAACAAAACACCTTAACCACTAAGGTACCCAATCGCCCCTGAACGTTTTAGAATCAGTGACTGACTGACTGACTGAGTTTGGTTTTACGCCGCTTTTAGCAATATTCCAGCAATATCACGGCGGGGCACACCAGAATTGGGCTTCACTCATTGTACCCATGTGGGGATTCGAACCCGGGTCTTCGGCGTGACGCGCCAACGCTTTAACCACTAGACTACCCCACCGCCCCTTTAGAATCAGTGGGTTTCACGACATAGTCAATACTAGTTCAGCTGTTTCAAGCCGATATGTTGATATTATGACCGTTCCGAAGAATAATGACATACAACCAACTGATTCACCGAACCTGGCCACCCGATACACCTAAGTAGTCTCCTCTCAAGACAACCAGAGGTTTCATTGGTCTTCAAAAGGGCACTGTATCCGAGAATGTAAAAAACGACAAAAACGTATCATTCTTGAAAAGGTTTATTTTCTTTCTCCGACCCTACATCAAAGCCAGTCTGACGATCTACAGAGCACTGCCAAGAACATCCAGGAGAGGAAAACCTTCAAGAGAAATAAAAATATTCATTCACCCGATGAAGGAAGGAGTAGGATTTACTCCAAAACGTCGTGTTTTTCATATTTAAGTTGGCATTCATAAATTTCCCCTTTATGTCTATCACTTCTGAATGCCATTCAAAGACTTTGATAATGAAAGAAAACTGCCTTAAAATGAAAGTTGACATCCATAAATGTCTTCCTTATGTGTATCACTGAATGTCATTCAAAGACTTTTATAAAAAATACAGCCTTAAAATCATTTGGATCGTCATTTATCAATATCTATTTACACGGTAAAAATTATAATGAAAATGTTTGTAAATTTGTTGAGAGACATTCACTGACTGACTGACTGACAGAGTTTGGTTTTACGCCGCTTTTAGCAATATTCCAGCAACATCACGGCGGGGGACACCAGAAATGGGCTTCACACATTGTACCCATGTGGGGATTCGAACCCGGGCCTTCGGCGTGACGAGCCAACGCTTTAGCCACTAGACTACCCCACCGCCCCGAGAGACATTCAATGCCCAACAGCTAATTCAAGCAACGTCAAGAACTGTTTCTGGATAATGCCAACAGATCCAATATCTGTGCTTGTGTGCATCGAGCTTAGACCAGATCAACTTATGCCATACCGTGAAGGTCCGGGTTAGAATATTGATCTTCAGTAACCCATGTATGGGTTAGGCTCGCTGACTTGGTTGACACATGTCATCGTATCCCAATTGCGTAGAACGATGCTCATGATGTTGATCACTGGATTCGTCTCGAGATTATTTACAGACCGCCGCCATAACGCTAGAATATTGCTGAGTGCGGCGTAAAAACAACCAACCAACCAACCAACCAACGTTATGCCAACGATACCAACGATAAAGCAAAGGTCACCTCTGTCCAACCACTTCTACCCAGTGACGCTGTCTCCTGTTCCTGATCCACTTCCGGTACTGGTTGCCGCTGGGAATGTAAAACCATTGTTTGGAAATCCGCTGAATCCGTTCAATCCGGTGAACCCACTGAATCCGTTAACTCCGTTGAGTCCGTTGAGTCCGTTGAGTCCGTTCACCCCGTTGAATCCGTTCAGATCGTTAAATCCGGTGAATCCGTTCAGCCCGTTGAATCCGCTGAATCCGTTCAGTCCATTCAGCCCGTTCAGTCCGCTGAATCCGTTCAGTCCGTTCAGCCCGCTGAATCCGTTCAGTCCGGCCAGCCCGTTGAATCCATTGAGTCCGTTGTTGAAACCGGTGAATCCGTTGTTGGAACCGGTGAAACCGGAGAAGGTTGGAAATCCTTGGAAACCACTCAGACCCGGCTGGAAATTATTGAAACCGTTGACGGTCCTACCAGTTGTTGGAAAGCCGAATCCGAAGCCCGCTACTGACCCGGTTCCTGGGAAGCCAAGGAAACCGAAATTACCCAAGTTGTTGAATCTGCCAAAGTTTCCAAAGCCACGGGCTCCTCCACGTCCTAAAAGGCCGCCAAAGCGATTATACCGGTTAAAGAGCCCTATTTGAGCGTTTGTTGTCACGGCGACGGCCAGTAAAACGAGGAGAACAGCCTTCATTCTTAGGAGTAACTGTCAAAATAAAGTGATTATATACCGTCATGGTCAGACAATAACCAGTCGCGATTATACGACGAAACAGACTCCAATGATATGAAGGGGTCGATAAAAATTCTTTCACGCAGTTGGCTTCATACATTAATGCACGCACGCACGTACGCACACGCAGACGCACACACACACATACATACATACATACATACATACATAGAAACATGCATGCATACATACATACATACATACATACATACATACATACATACATACATACATACATACATACATACATACATACATACATACATACATACATACATACATACATACATACATACATACATACATCATACATACACACACACACACACATACATACATACATACTTACATACATACGACCGCCTCCGTGGTGTAGTGGTTGGAGCGTCCGCCCGGAGAGCGGAAGGTCGCGGGTTCGATCCCCGACCGCGTCATACCAAAAGACGTTAAAATATGGTACTTGTTGGTCCCTGCCTGGCGCTCGGCATTATGGGTACATCAGGGACTGGTCGGCTCGGAGTCAGTATAAAGTGTCTGAGTGGGGTATTCATGCTTCACTGCGGCATGGTATCTCAGTGGGCTAGCACTATAAAACCAGCTTCAGCCTGGGCTAGTACAAGCAGCCGCACATACACATACACACGCATGCACGTCGTCATATGAGCGAAATATTCTCAAGCACGACGTTAACCCCAATTTCACCTCACCTCACCTCACTTACATACATACACACACACATACCTACCTACATACATACATACATACACACACATACATACATACATACATACATACATACATACATACATACATACATACATACATACATACATACATACATACATACATACATACATACATACATACATACATACATACATACATACATACATACATACATACATACATACATACACACATACATACATACATACATACATACATACATACATACACATACATACATACATACATACATACATACATACATACATACATACATACATACATACATCGGAAATGGCACTGTATATAAAACATATATCAATTCTGTAAATGTCTACGATTAAACGTCTTGAAAGCTTTTGGGAGGCCTTTTGCCTTATCAAGCAACATTTGAGCATGTGTCGTGTGATGCTGTTTCAGATGTTGTCTCGATTACACCTCGAAAGCTCTGACATGTAACCACGAAAGGCTGAACCCGTTAATATATTGCTCGACATACAGGGAAAGTCTTGTCATACAACCTTATGGACTTTTCGTAACTGTACCGAAAGTTCTTCTGGTGGACCAAGGACAGAGTGTCCCATGTAACTCCCTGTAATTTCTGACTTGCACCAACAGCTTCTGTGTACTTTTAAGGTTAACAATGGACTTCCGTTTTTTAAGTGCCTATGAGTGAGTGAGTTTGGTTTTACGCCGCTTATAGCAATATTCCAGCAATATCACGGCGGGTTAAGTGCCTGTGAAGGGTGCCGTCGAAAGGGCAAAATGTGCTCTCCTTCATCATCTGGTATTGCCAGTATTTGATAGTGAATTATAAACACATGCTATTTTCGGGGCTATACACAGGATTCTGCTTTTAGTAGTGATTATGTGGGGCGGTGGAGTAGTCTAGTGGTTAAAGCGTTGGCTCGTCACGCCGAATACCCGGGTTCGAATCCCCACATGGGCACAATGTGTGAAGCCCATTTCTGGTGTCCCCCGCCGTGATATTGCTGGATTATTGCTAAAAGCGGCGTAAAAACCAAACTCAGTCAGTCAGTGATTATGTATGGTTATGGGTAAGTCTTAGCACACTTCTATTTGCGAAAAGTGTCATCGTTGTAAAAAAACAAACCCGACCAACGAAGGCTTACTCGCAGGGGTACACTTCGGTCCCTCAGTGAGTGAATGAGTATGGTTTTACGCTGCTTTTAGCAATATTCCAGAAATATTACACCTGATGACACCAGTAAGTGGCCAGACACGTTGTACCCATGTTGGGAATCGAACCCAGGTCTTCGGCGAGACGAAGGAACGCTTTAAACACTAGGCTACCCCCACCGCCCCTTAACGGTTTAGAATCAGTGACTGAGGCTACCCAACTGCTGCGGGCCTTCATAGATCCCTTTACTGATTGAAAAAACACCAGCGCCTTGAGCATGTACTAGTTGCGTGGATATGTGCGTTATATAAATACATTGCAAATACATAATTAAAAATCAGTGTTGTAGAATGACATGGATAAAACCTTTAGTTCCTGTTTGCTAATTAAGAACACCTAACCCTGTATAAAGAAATGCCTCACCTGTGCAGACGGTGGGGACGAGCTTGTGGTTCTGACTTTAAAACGTTTTACTATTTTATATATTAACCTGTGGGCAATATACGCATTGGCTCCCATGATTGTCCAAGGGGGTGTAAGCTATGTAATCTGTCAATCAAAATACCCTCAAGTTGACAGGTGCTCTTTGAAATAGAATCAGATCAATAAAAAAAGGCTGCAGGAAGGTTTACTCAGCAAATGCATTCAAACAAATATTTTCACATGTATGCATGGCATACAGACTGTCGAGTACGGGTTAGTATTCGAAAAATAATCATTATGAATATCGAGCCGATTTTATGCCTGAAATACATTGTGTTACCAAAGACAATCGATATGCAACAGATATACACTGTGTAACCCATATACAGTTGGAGTAGGACTGGGTAGGAGATTGCTGTGGGATTGTCGGTGCCAACGGGTTATTTCTTGTGACGTCCGTGACAAGAGGTGAACTCGGTGTTCCGATGACGTAGTATGAAAGCATATTCGTGCCATAAATCTAAATTCCCTAATCCGCAATTTCAGTTATTTTATAAAAAAAACACTATCTATTATTGCAATATTACCAGTTTCTTTTGTTTTACTTCGTATATATTTTCGTAATTTCATTTTTTTCCAAGTATATTCCTCGTTGCCTCGATTTTATTCGCGATGTTTTAATTATTTACTCGAAATTTCGAATTTGTTGTCTATTCTCCGACAACTATTTCGTAATTTCAACTATTTTCTTATTATTTCATGGGTTGTTTTTTTCTTTGTTATTGTTTGTAAATATCGCCATTTTTTTAACGTTACTGTGATTATTTTCTTCTTCTTTCAAGCGTTTTTCACAAACGATTTTTTTCTCGTTACTCCGTTATTTTCTGGTTGTTTATAGTTTGAAATAAACTAGAAATAACGAGAAAACAATCAAATTTACAATAATATGGTTTTAGTAGAGATAAAAATGATTTAACTTTCGAGAAAAAATCAAAACAAGAATATAATTGAAATAACGAGAAATTTCGGTTAAAATAAATATATATGCTACCAAAGTTGCTCATTTAAACTTTCGTATTGTTGTGGTCGTTCTGCCCATGAATCAGATTCTTTTGCCTGTTATCTGTTACCACTATATTTGTCATATACTCAACCTCCCGTCCAGACCTTCTGTTGGTATGTTTGTTATGAAGATTGGTATTTAAAAGAGTGAGTGAATGAGTTTAGTTTTACGCTGCTTTTAACAATATTCCAGCACCAGAAATGGGCTTCACAGATTGTACCCATGTGGGGAATCGAACCCGGGTCTTCGGCGTGACGAACGAACGCTTTAACCACAAGGCTACCCCACCGCCCTGGTATTTAAAAGGGTGAATAGATTGGAATAAGTCTGTATTTCGAAAATGCACTTTACAAATAATATGCACTTAATGTCTAAGATCCGAGATAATATTGTCTGGTATATTGCGAATGCAACAATCCTTTTTAGTAACCGTTGTTTCAAAATTGTAGCCGATACTCGTCTATCAGAAGGGGATTCCGTCATGATAGGTCCCCAGTACATCAGTCTCGTCTATCAGGAGGGGATTCCGTCATGATAGGTCCCCAGTACCTCATTCTCGTCTACCTGGTGGGGATTCCGTCATGATAGGTCCCCAGTACCTCATACTCGTCTACCAGGTGGGGATTCCGTCATGATAGGTCCCCAGTACCTCATACTCGTCTACCTGGTGGGGATTCCTACAGGATAGGTCCCCAGTACATCATTCTCGTCTACCAGGAGAGGGATTCCGACAGGATAGGTCCCCAGTACCTCATACTCGTCTACCTGGTGGGGATTCCGACAGGATAGGTCCCCAGTACCTCATTCTCGTCTACCAGGAAGGGATTCCGACAGGATAGGTCCCCAGTACCTCATACTCGTCTACCAGGAAGGGATTCCGACGAGATAGGTCCCCAGTACCTCATACTCGTCTACCAGGAAGGGATTCCGACAGGATAGGTCCCCAGTACCTCATTCTCGTCTACCAGGAAGGGATTCCGACAGAGATAGGTCCCCAGTACCTCATTCTCGTCTACCAGGAAGGGATTCCGACAGGATAGGTCCCCAGTACCTCATCATACTCGTCTACCTGGAGGGGATTCCGTCATGATAGGTCCCCAGTACCTCATACTCGTCTACCTGGTGGGGATTCCACAGGATAGGTCCCCAGTACCTCATACTCGTCTACCAGGAAGGGGATTCCGACATGATAGGTCCCCAGTACCTCATACTCGTCTACCAGGAAGGGACAGGGGTCCCAGTTCCACAGGATTCCGACGAGGATAGGTCCCCAGTACCTCATTCTCGTCTACCAGGAAGGGGATTCCGTCAGGATAGGTCCCCAGTACCTCATACTCGTCTACCTGGTGGGGATTCCGACAGGATGGGTCCCCAGTACCTCATTCTCGTCTACCAGGAAGGGATTCCAACATGATAGGTCCCCAGTACCTCTCATACTGTCTACCAGGTGGGGATTCCGACATGATAGGTCCCCAGTACCTCATACTCGTCTACCAGGAAGGGATTCCGACAGGATAGGTCCCCAGTACCTCATTCTCGTCTACCAGGAAGGGATTCCGACAGGATAGGTCCCCAGTACCTCATACTCGTCTACCAGGAAGGGATTCC